ACTGGATGCTGGACAGCTGCCCCTGCGATACGCAGCTTGGAACTCTGTCCCGTTGCCATGCTGCCTGCAGAGCTCGAGTACCGGACAGTCCTGGTGGGACGGTCACTGTCACCGAGTCCTGACGCGGTGACACCAGGGTTTCTCAGCCTCAACACTGATGACACTTGGGGCTGGATAATTCTTGGTTGTGGGGGCCTGACCTGTACACAGGGAGGTTTAGCAGCACCTCAGGCCTCTACCTGCTAGATGCCAAGTAGCACCCCTCCCCCCACTTGTCACAACCCAGAATGACTCCAGACATGGCCAAATAGCCCCTGGGGGGCAGGTGGTCAGGCCATTCCAGATGAAAACCACTAGGCTTAGCTGTGGGTCAAGGGGCCAGACATCCCACGGGAATCCTGGCCATCATCTGACCAGCTCTGGGACCCCGAGGCAAGTGAGGGAACTGCCCTGAAACTCCTGTTGGCTCAATCGCAATCTTAACAGCACCTTACCTTTAAGGTTTCGATGAGATAATGCATGTAAAGCTCCTAGCACGCAGTGCTTACTTCGCACACAGTAAGCACTCCTTTAACGCACTGCTATTTCACATTTTCTGTTGACCCTTTTTAATGTTTATTATTTATTTATTTTCCCTTTTTATTGAATGTATAGGGGTGACACTGGCTAACAGAAATGACACAGGTTTCAGGTGCACAATTCTACAACACATCATCTGCATCCGTCTCCGTCTCTGGACCTTTGTGAAAAGGGATTTCGTGTTCGCTCTGTTCCAGGCAACAGAAGCAAGTTTCCTGAGAAAAACAGCTGTGGCAGTTCCTTCCATCCCTGGCTGTACTGCATGTCTCTTTGGAAAGCTTTTCTGTTAATTCCAATGCAAGATTAATTTGTGTCTTTCAAGCCTAATGAGATAGTTAGCTTGATTTATCTTCCCAGCCAAGTTCCGCCTGATTCTTTATCTGCATGTGGGTAGTCCAGGCATGCCATCTCGCTACTGGGAAAGGAGGCCGCGTCTGTTATAAATGAAGGACTCCAGAATGGGAAATATCACAGATTCACCCAGCGTGAGCCCAGCATGGGCAGGCTGCATCCCAGGAGGGAAGCCATTATCAAATAAACCAGCTAAAATATGCAGCCCCAAACAGAGCTTGAATGCTAACGAGCCTCTGTTCTCCCCTGTGGGGTTCACATCAGAAATTCCAAATGATAAAAATGGGGTGTGTGTGTTTGCGCGTGTGTGTGGAAAAACAAGAACAAAAACCTCATCCATTGTTTAAAAACCAAAAGACCTAGAGTGAACTAAGCTGAGTGAATGAGGCGCTAAGTGAAACGCTGAGGGTCCCGTATCTATCAGCTCCATGGACAAAAATTGGACCATGTATATTTTTTGTACATTTGGTGAAGTGCTCAGTATGCATAGGTGGACTTCATTTTCATGAAAGTTGGGAATGGAATCTTTTGCTAAGGAGCTTTCTGATGCATTTGAAAAAAATTGTTTTTGAATAGGTAACACTCGGGACTGTTTTGAACCACACCTGGTGGGCAGTGCAAGGTTTGATTTCACCAAAGAAGAAGTTATCAGAGTCCCCTTCTCTGTGGACCTCAAATCTAAAGCAAGATATTATTATTATTTTAGCAAGATATATGAGACCATTTCAGGCTCCATTTGGTTTTCTTCCCTTGGGGCAAAATATTCTCTCTTCCTCTGCCTCCCCAGCATTCAAATGAAAATGCAGAAGCATCTTAGTAAATAAGTAGAGGTTTTGCTTCCCTGAGGTAAGGGTTTTAAGAAAGGAAATCTGTAACACCAATCATGCATTGTTGGTGAAAGAGGAAGTTGGTTCAACTTTGGAAGGAAGTTCACAGTATCTGCGCAAAATAAAAATGTCGTAACTCGTGATCCAGCAATTCTACTTCTAGGGATTTACCCCACAGAATTATCTGCTCCAATGGATGAAGATATACAACCGAGGATAGTTTCTGCAAATCTGGCTGCCACCTGGTTTTTGTGAGTTTTATTGGGACCCCGTCAAGCCGGCTTGTTCACATCTGTCCACCGGCTGCCTTCGCACAGCAGCCCCACAGCTGAGTAGTTTCAACACAGACCATGTGGCCGAAAATTGAAAATAGTTACTGCCTGGCCTTTTACGAAACCTTTGCTGATCCCTGCTCCAGAATATTGTTTATAAGAATGAAAAACGGAAATAACAAAAATGTCCATGAGGAAGTGTGGCTCAGGCTGTTGATGCCTTAACCCACCCCCCTCAGCCCGCTACCTGCAGCTTCTGTGGATGGTGCCCCACCCCAAGCCCCCATGGCTCTCTGCCTGGGCCCCCAGTCTATGCTAACAGGTGATTTATGGGGGGGGGGGGCCCTTGGGCCACTCGATATCAACTTGACCTTGGAAGGGTGGGGAGACTAGATGAAGCCACTTGGACGGGCAGCCATACCTATGTGGACACCAGGGCCTGAGTGAGCTTCCCCGGTGGGCAGGACTCTGAGTGTGTTGCCAACACTGTTACGGGGGGAATGAACTGCTGTCCACAGGACTCCCCTGGAGAGGACGACTGGAAGCTCCTGCCTGGGCCCTCCTGGACTCTGCCCTCATGCCTTTCCCTTTGCTGGAATTAGTCTGGATCCTTTTGCTGTAATAAATGGTAACCATGAGTATAACAAGTCTTCTGAGTTTCCTGAGTCCTTCTAGCTTCGATGACAGCACTGAACCCGAGGGTGGTCTTGGGGCCCCCTGAGCTGCAGTTACACACTCAAAATAACTGCCTCCGTTTCCTGCCTCCCTTCCCCACGCGCTTGCCAGTGCTTCCTGGGATCCCCTTGCTAGTGGCTTGCCTGCACCCAAGTCATTGTTTTAGGATTAGATTTGGGAGGCACCCAGACTAGGACTGGCGGGGACTAATTAGATAATTTCTGATGTAACAATACCATGGAAACCAATGTCACAGTTAAAAATGACACAGACCTATATATACAAATGGAAAAATCTTCCAAGACCGATTGCTAGGAGACAAAAGCAAGTTGCAAAGCAATATATGTCAACACAATCTCGTTTTGCTAAAAACATATTAATATACCGAATCGAAAACAGTATCTGGAGGAATGTTCACCAAACTCTTAAGAGTGACTCTCTCTAGGGAGGAAAAACAGAGGGAACTTTCGCTTTTCTCTTAGGTCAGTACGTACAGTTTACACTTCTCACAAGTGCATATTGTGATGGAGAGGAAACAGGAAGAAATTAAGTGGCTGTCAGAGAATCCACAGCTAAGTCGCCAGAAGGGGAAGAAGACTAAAAGGAAGTCATATCCTACGCTCCCTCCGTATCCCCATTTGCAAAGTGCGTGGGGAGTCACTTGGCTGGGAAAGGTGGGAAGCAGCTGCGGCCGTCCCGTCCGAGTTAACTGGCAGGCTCCGCACTTGCGAGTGACTTGGTCAAGTTACTGGCAAATCAGTTGGCAACTTTGAAAGTCTTTGAGAAAGCAAACATTCAAAATGCAAATTACAGTAAGCTGAAGCTGAATAAAACCAATGCCTTCTAGTATAAAAGCTAACTGGGAGAATATCAAGGTTTGCCATCACTGAACATTCTAGGGACTGGCTACATGCAGAAAACAGACAGGGGCTCAGCAACAGTGGACCAGACACCTGCCCCCTCCACTTTATACGTCAGGAAACCAAGTCACTGAGCCGGCTGGTACTAAAACTCACAGTACTTGCAGCAAATAACCTGTAAAGGAAGCACATTCCTCATAACTAGGTCCCTACAATCCTCCTCTTCAGAAACAATCACACCTAGACATTTTGTTGTTAGGCACCCCAAATGTCCCCACTGGCTGCGACAGGCGACTCCCTTTTACTGTAGTCACTATATATATGACAATGTATATGCTCCAATGTACCTTAGACATCTGGAAGCACCTTCCCAACAGTGTGTACAATTAGAGAGTGGCAACAGGCGTCTAAACAGTCAGAACAGATGTCACAAAGTCATGCACAAATCCCAGGAAGAGGGCTCCTCACACTTTCTCTAAGAACCTACATCCTATTCATGGATTTAGACATTCTTCGACTGAACGTGGTCATCTGGTTTCCCCACCTGCGGTCATTTAAATTAACTTAGTGGACTGTGACTACCTGACAGATACAAGAACTTTAGAAAGTAAGGCAGAACTGAGCCATTTGGTGAAGGGCAAACACCCTTTACTCCTTCACAGAGCCCAGGGATAGCCACTGTGTGACCGGGCTTTGAGGAAGTATGGAGAGTGACACTGCTTTGTTAAGCACCTACTATGTGCATGGCCCAGGGCTAAGCAGGCCGCGTGGATTAACTCTTAATCTTCACGTCCACCCTCTAGCATGGCGTTTCCCATCCTCAGCACTACTGACATTCTGGGCCAGACCATCCTGGGCTGTGAGGGGCTGTTCTGAGCATCGCAGAAAGTTTAGCAGCACATCTGGCCTCTGCGGACCAGATACCACTGGCAGCCCTCTCCAGTTGCAACAAGCAAATGTATCTCCAGACTCTGCCCAATGTCCCCGGGGAGCATACCCACCCCCCTCCAATGAGAAACACTGCTCTAAGGGGCCCATCTTGCAGGTGGGAGAGCAGGGCCTCGGGGTGCAGGGAGAGCATGCACCGCTCCAGTCAAGATCCAGTTGCCCCGAGTGAGTCAGAGGCAAGTTGAGTCTTTCACATGTTGATATTTGCCGCAAAAATGAATTTGTTCTTCCCTCTTAGAGCTAAACTCTTTGGCT